GCACTAGCTTGTGTGTATTTGTTTTACCTATAAACAATGAGCAAAAGTTGAGCATGGTTGAATTACTACAGAAAATTGTCTATAGGAGGGTCCTTTTCTTGACTCCCATGTTGGATCTCAGTGCTGGAAAGAGCAATGGTTATGGAGGTATGGGGCCTATGGTCAACTGCTACCTTTAACTATGTGATCTTGGACAAAATTGTTAATTTCTCTGGGTCTAAGTTTGATCATCTGTAAAATAAGGGTGTTGGACTATGTGACTTTTGGGTTCCCTTCTGGCTGTATCTCTGTGATCTGATGAGCTCACCTGGGCCCTAACTACAATGAGGGTCTTATAGAGTAGATGGTCTGTTGTTCTCTAATGCCTATCTTCCATCAGTGCTTCTGTGTCTATACTCCCTCCATGCCAATGGAGCAAGTGGGCTGATCTACGGCTCTTAAGAGTGATTAATGTCTTCCATACTGTTTCCGTCCTGCCAGAGTATTCATTGTGGCATCAAGATCTGAGGTCTAAGTTAGCAATTCTTTTAAAAAAGAAAACAAAATAGGCATAGTATATAATGACACTTTCTCATATGCTGTGCTATATAACCATATGTTTCTGTGGTCAGTTCATATGGTGGTCTGCCTTTTATATATCTCTACATGGTTTGGACTTTAACTATTTTGACTACATATTTTCTTTTACACCATCCTGGCAATCAAGACCAGCCAAGGTGATTTTTTTTTCAAAACTTCACCTAGACAGAATTAGAGGTAGGTGGGAAGGTGGATGGGTAGAGGAAGTTAGAATTCCTCGCTCACTCTCCTGGCCTCTAGGCCACAACATCCTTTAAAATTGGTGTCTTCTTAATCATATCATGGGTCCCTGATGCTCTCTTTCAATGTACGTGTTATATTTGTGCCTCAAGGACAAATCTGAAGGGAAACAATTTTACAATCTAATAAAGCTAAAAATAGGTGATTCAAGGAGAAAGAACATTTTGTGATAGGATAACCATCAGATATGAAGGGAAGTCAGCCACCTGATTGGACTTTAGTCCTCTAGGAGGCCCAAACCACATGGGCTATTGGCACTGAGAGGCAGGAGATGTGGACAAGAAGGAGAAGGAGGAGAAGGGGAGGAGGAAGAGAAGAGAAATATGGAAGGGAAGGGAATAAGTATTTATATAGTACCTATAATGAGCCAGACACTGCACTAAGTGCTTTTTTACACATCTATCTCATTTGATTCTTATAACAACTCTGAGAGGTAGATGCTATTATTATTCCCATTTTAAAGTTGAGGAAAGTGAGACCAACAGAGGTTAAGCACCTTTAGTTAATAGGTGTTTGAGGCTAGATTTGAACTCAGGTCTTCTTGACTCCCCTCCCAGATTGATTTTTTGAGTAGGCAAACTAGGCCATCTTTTGCCTCAATTCTTACCTAGCCTTAAATCACTGAATGGGTGTTGCCTTAGACAAACTGAGACCTGGGAAAGACCTTAGCTTAAAAAGGCCAAGGTCTCCCGCTGTATCTGGGACCATCTTCAATCATCCTGACCTGATGTTACTAGTCTTCTTTGAGAATGAAGGACAAACAACAACAACAACAACAGACAATACTGACTCCAGACCCAGGTCCTATTCACTGTGTCACCCAGATGCCTCTAAGAGGGACAAGAAAGAACTAAAAAAGATAGGGAAAAAGAATAGATTAGACAACTGGAGTAGAGGTAGTAGAGGAGAGATTGCAAAGGAAGAAAAGGAGATTGGGATAAAAATTCACACAAAGAAAAATAAACCCTTACCTATGATAGGGAATGGTACAATGCTGCCTCTGAGTTACCCACTACCACCACCATTATTACCACCACTACCACCATAGACTGCCCTAGGTGTGAACTTGGTTGAGGAGTCTAGGGCTTTTCCATTTGCTAGTTTACCCATCTTTGAATGACCCCTTAAGTTCATAAGCTGAAAATATATCTGGCTACAGGTGTAGAGGAAGGGATGTCAAGTTCCCAAGGATATTTTGTGTGACATGTATGTATATTTTAATAGCTCATGACATTATTTATTATGTTCCTGTGATCAACGCCCCCCCATGATACCTTATTCTGCAGAGTGTGAACTTTCTTCTGCAGAATGTAAAAACGACTTACATCCAAAAGAAGCAAGATGAGCAGGAAAAACCCATTAGCAAGTGTCCTAAGAGAGACAGAAGCGCCACATTCAGCCTCCTAGATGTTCCTTGGAACCTGTGCTTCAAGACATCCAATTTTGATCTCATTGCTTTGAAAATCATCTCCTTTCTATGAATTCCCTTCCTTCCATTTCCCATCCAGTAGGAAATCTTGGACCCTTCTAGGCATTTATTAGCCAGTCATTCAACAAAGTTAATGAGTATCTACTAAGTGCTGTGTACTGTGGTAGTGGCTGTGATAGTAAAATAGAAATGAAACTGTTCCTTCCCTCAAGGAGCTTGTATTCTATGGGGGAGATGATACACATATACACATATGTGTATATATACACCCATATATACATACATGAGTACGTATACATATATATACACATATGTGTATATATATGTGTGTGTGTGTATATATATATGTTGTTATTTGATAATTCCCAACTTTTCACGACCTCATGGACCATGCTATATTCATGGGGTTTACTTGGCAAAGGTTCTGCAGTGGTTTGCCATTTCCTTCTCTAGTGTATTAAGGTAAACAAAGGTTGAGTGACTTGCCTAGGGTCACATAGCTAGTAAGTGTCTGAAGCCATATTTAAACTCAGGTCTTCCTGACTCCCGACCCAGCGCTCTATCCACTGAGCTACCTAGCTGCCTATGAATATGTATATATGTAAGGATGTATGTGTGGGTATATATGTAAGTATGTATGGGTATATATATGGGGATTGAGGGAGTGGGGAATAGAAGTGAACGTGGATTTGAGTATACCCCTTGGAACACCTTATTTCATGCTTTATTCCAATCTAATACTGCCCCCCAACCTCTATCAATCATATTTACAAAATTGATACACAAAGTGATTGGGGGAGGGCATCAGATAAAAGTCTTTTGTTTTCTTCTGAAGTGCTGATAACTTGGATTTCCTGGGGGTGATTTATTAAGATAATTGTTATGCCTGCAATAGAATTAGAGGTACCTGTTTTGCATATTTTTTCACTGATTAATTAGAGTATACTGGCTGGTTAACTACATTGTTTTTCACAGGAGTAAAATATATCTGCTGGTAAAATAAAGACTTGAAATTTGTCATTGTTTTTACCATTTGGAGTTCTTACTGTGCATTTAAGTGTTAACATAAATCTTCCTTTAATAAAGAAGTGAACAAGTCACATACACACATATACTCAGACACCAATAATTAAATAAACTGTTTATATAGAACTTTAAGGCTTGCAAATTGTTTACATGTATTATTTCATATGAGCCTCACAACCACCTTGTGAGAGGTGTTTCCACTTTACAGAAAAGGAAACTGAGGCTCAGAGAGATTAAGTGATTTGCTCATACTGATCTAGCTGGTACATGTAGGAGGCAGGATAGAACCCAGCTCTCTTCTGAGCTTAAGTCTGGTATGATTCCCACTTTCCCTTGTTACTTCTAGATGTAGTGAGTAAATCTGTTCAATTGGTTGCTGGATCTAATCACAAGACCTGGGTACACATGTTGATTCTTTTGCTTTATTAATTTTGTGACTTTGGGCAAATCACTTTGCCTCTCTCTGCCTCTCCTTCCTTATTTAGGACTAGAATGATGAGATGTTATTCTAGAGCATACATTTCCAAAGTAGGTGATACTGCTCCCTGGGGCCACTGGAACAATCCAGGGAGGCAGTAGTAACCTCCGGTGCCATTGGGAGGCATTGAATAAAAATAAGGGGACAGTGGAAGCATAAGGAAAGAAAAGATAAGAAAATTTTGAAAAACCATTTGTATGTTTTATCTGTTGTGTAACAGGGTTAAAGTTGTAGTGGTTACATTATTTTCCAAATAAACACACAAAATGCAAGTTATAAACCAATCAGTGGTCAAGTCTGCCGACAGGTCTTAACAAGCAAGTGTTGGCCGGTGAGTGTGTTATGTATTGTCAAGAAGTCCAGCATCCATTGACAAGAATAAGTGCATATAATGACTTGTTTACAATATGATACTAGATGGTTACATGACACAATATTGTGTCATCAAAATTTCAATGCAGGAAAAACCATAGGCTTACAATAAATTATTAAATTTAAGACATGTAATTTTCTAAAAAATATTTTCTATTTTTTAAATGATGCAAATTTAAAAAAAACATTAAAGGGTTAAAGAAAGTAGATTTGCAGAGTGGTGCTAAGTAATTTTTTTTAAAAAGGGAGTGGTAGGTCAAATGAGTTTGGGAGCTTCTGTTCTAGATCGTCAAGAGGCAGCTACGTGGTACAGTGGATGGAGCTATGTATGCACCTTGAGTCAGGAAGACCTTCATCCTTATCCAGCTTAAAATTTTTACTAGCTCTGGGACTCTAGGCTCTATCTGATCTGACTCACTTTCCTGAACTATCAAATGGGGATCATAGTGACGCCTATTTTGTAGGGTTGTGAGGATCAGATGAAATAATAATTATAAAGCACTTGGTGCAATACCTGTTATATGGTAGGTCCTTAATAAATGCTTGTTTCCTTTCTTTCTTCCTGGTTCAACTTTAAGTGTATAAACTGTGAAACTATATAATGACCCTAGGAATCTCCATCTTCCAACATAACAGTATGTTGTTTTTGCTCATTGTAGGTCAGATGGACTAACTGGCTCTCATTCGGAAGGAACCTAATGGATCAGTTACCCTGCTGTATGCCCTGAACATTGTTTGGGTCTGGAAACTGTTCTAAAAACGATTAAAACAGGACAAAAATGTGACAGTGACATGGGACTCCAAGAAGCCTGAGAAGCAGCTTCTAATTAATTGCTTTGCAATTGGAAAGAAGCACTTTTAGATTTCCCTGGGCCACCAAGAAAGGCACTTCCCCACTGAAGGGTTAAAATGAGTGCCCCATTGGTTCCCAACAAGTCATGTTATACTCAGGTGCAAGACAACAGAAATGGAGTGAAAAATAATAATGAAAGCATCCCAAGCCTGGGAGATACAAATGCCAACCAAGTCACATCAGAGGTAAATCCCTCTGTTGGTGAGACCAAGAGATGTGGTCTTGTAGAAGAAATTGGAAATGGAAACGTAGGTGGGTCAGAGACTATCACCCAGCTTCACAAGGAGTTTCACCAACTTCATGGATATGGTAAAGAAGCCCAGAGTGGCCACATCAGTCTGAAGGAGTTTAAGCTTGCTTCTACTACTCTAAGGAGGGATCTGGGTGAAGAATACGTGGCAGAAGAAGCTGTAGATATCATGTCGATTCCTCAGCTGATCCAGGGACCAGAGCTATCCAGTCTGAAAAGTGTTGTGCATGGGACCCACCCAGAGGTTCTTGCTATAAGTGAAGCTGACATTATTCAGCATGTGTCTAGGGAGAAACTGGCCAAAACCCAGGGTAGCAAAGAACTGAAAAGGCATTCTTTGGAAAGAGCAAGCAGCTTTCCTGCTAAAATGGAAGCATTCACAAAAGAGCATGCCAGTAGCCTGGCTCATAAACACTTCCAGCCTGCTTTGCTTGATTCCATTGAAACATCATCACATCACGTTGCTGGTGGTACAGAGATATCAGAGACAACATCAGCGGATCACCTTCTAAGGGCAGTGTTTCATCCACATGACAATACCTCAGAGGAAAAGATTGTGTTTTATCCTAAACCATCTACCTCAGAAACCAAGGACACTGTTCTCCCAGAGACCCACACGGATGGGAGAAATTCTCCGGATATCAGCATGAAAAGCACACCCCATCCTGCTCACAGAGATTCTCCTCTCATTTTCACTGCAGCACTTGAGGGGATCTTGAACAAGCCAGAAGCACAAGTAGGTCAGGAAGAGGAGGGGCCCAAATTGGAGGTGAAAAATGTACCGACCCTGCAGCCTGAGATTGTTTGGGAGCAAAAAATGCTCCAAGTTGAAAGCCTAGACTTGCCTAAGGTAGAAAGCGTGGTGACACTGGGGAAGAAAGGTTGGATTGAGGAAAAAGAGGGAGGAAGAAACCCTCTCCTTCAAGGCCCAGATGCTGTTCTAAGTCAAGTAACAACTTATGCAAATGACGGTCAAGTCCTTTCAGAGTTGGGGAGAGGAAGTAGGAGTGATGAGAAGATAAATACTCTGTGTGATGAAGGGTCAGTAGCTACTGCCCAGAAGCTGGGGTCCATTCTCCCTGTTGCCTTAGGGACTGACAGTGATCAGCTCGGTGGTGAAGGTATACTAGACACAGCTAAGTGCTTGGGTGAAGCTGTCCTGGGTAGCATTCCCATAGTTGATGGTCACACAGCATTTTCTCCTGATGGTCTAACTGAGAGCAAACCTGAGAATAAAGGCATGGGAGTTGGAGGAACCCTCCCAGTTTTAGCTCTGGACCCTTTGGGTCAATCAAATGGTGAAAGTGTGTCTTTTGAACATCCCATTCATCAGGACAGTGGTTTAGAAGCAATGAAGGTTCATCAGGCTGCTGCCACTCCTGAAAATAAACCCCTTCCTGATGAAGCGGTCAGTGAGGTCGAGACAGTTACAGGAAGAACAGTTGGCCCTCTTAGTGTCCCTAGACCATTCCAGGCAGTGACAGCTGTGGATGTGAACCACCAGCCCACACCATCCAACAGCAATCTGAAGGACCTTTGCCCATTTCAGAACGACACGGTATCATCTTCTACCATCCTACCTCCCGTCGACAGTGCACAGTTACTGAATATGTCTTCTAAAGTGCCTAATAAGACTGCTTGCAACAGTGGGATTCCCAAGCCAATCCTGGTGCATTCCAAGGACTCTCTTCCCAACCAGGGAGAGACTGAGAGTGACTTTGTTGAGAGACCTGAAGAAAAGTTGGAAACAGAGCCCATTATCATACCTAAACCCAAACATGTGAGACCCAAAATCATCACTTATATCAGGAGGAATCCTCAGGCCCTTGGCCAGGTGGATACTTCGTTGGTTCCAATGGGGCTTCCTTATGCCACTCCATCATGTGGCATGCCCCTGCCAAAAGATCAGAAGACATCAAGTGGTGACCTCAAACCAGCCACTAACCTCTATGAAAAATTCAAACCAGACTTGCAGAAACCACGAATCTTTAGTTCTGGATTGATGGTATCCGGAATTAGGCCTCCAGGACATCATTTTAGTCAAATGAGTGAGAAGTTTTTGCAGGAGGTAAGAGAATGAAGTTTCAGTTTGATGTGTGTGATATGTGTTTTACCTCTTTAAGAAAATTTGCAGTGATGTCTGGCAATTAGGTGCTTTCCTCTAGGAAGTACCTGATGTTAAGGGATGCAATTGATACTTCTAACTGGAGAAGAGAGGTGACTTGACATTTTGGACTGTATCATCATAATCCAATGGGTTCAAAGTGGAGCATAATCCATTTATATACAGCTTTATTGTATAAGTAAATAAGCAAGAGAAGAGGGGAATATAGCATAATTACCCTCCTTAAATTGTTCAGATCTCCATTTGAACAGGTTTCTTTTGAGAAATCTCTCTCTCAACCTTTTTCTTTTGTCTCTGTCTCTCTCTCACACACACACACTCACACACTCTCACACATGCACACTCACACACACATACACTCTCATACATACTCATACACACATACATTCTCTCTCACACACACACTCACACACACTCTCTCTCTCACACACACACACTCTCACACATACACACATATACTCACAGAGTTGACAGTGTATGCGGATTGAGTTTTTGAAGAGGAGAATTCTCCCCATTTTTGTCATTTTTTTGAGAATAAACACTCATGTCACAATAATCCAATGAAAGGAACCTTGTCTAGGGACAAGACCTAGTTATCACTGATATCTCTGATTCCCTTCCAGATTGTTTTCCTTTCCTTGTTTTATTTCCACATTGCTTTATACTTGCTAGTTCAGGGGTGGAGAACCTATGGCCTTGAGGCCACATGTGGCGTCCTAGGTCCTTGGACTCAGTCAAAAGGCCGCACCCAAGTTTTACAGAACAAATCCTTGGATTTGTTCTGTGAAGTTTGAATTCACTTAACGGGCCGCACTTGAGGACCTAGAGGACCACATGTGGCCTCAAGGCCGCAGGTTCCCCACCCCTGTGCTAGTCACTTAATAAATGTCTGATGAATTAAGCTGAATTCTCCTTTTCACTCTCTGTATCCCCCTTGCACCATTTAAGAACAATCTGTGTTATGACTGGATATTTTCCCCAGACGTTTATTCTCTTCTGCCTTTTGAAATCATGCCCAAAACTTGGAAGAGTAGACTCATTTGCACTTCAGTCATTCAGCTGGGCAGGCTCTCACCGAGGCTGATTGGAATGATGGATTTTTCACTTCCTTCTGACTGGCATGCTGTCTGCTTACCATGAGTCCTATTTCCACACTGATGGAAATGCCAGAGATCCTTGAACTATGCCTTGTACAGAGCGTATGCTTAAAATAACTGTGTGTTCAATTGCGTCAGACCTCTTCAGTTGTTTCCCTTAGGCTACAGGATAGAGACAAGGAGCCCTAGGGTAGCCACTGGGCAGGAGCCATGTCTACGATGAGTTCCTTTACCATGTGAGGATATGGTTTAGCTGGTAAATAACCAATGGAATGCAGGACTGCGGTTACTTAATCATGGATCAAGAAAAAATGGCATGGGCGGTGCATTGTTTCAGAAAGGTTAGAATGATTACCCCTGCTCCTTTTTATAAAGACCATCTCAGGGCAGAGATCTTAAATAATTTTCCAAGTATAATTCTGAAGACTGATGGCTTCAGTTTGCCTCTGGTAAGACAACAAATTCCTGAATAACAGGAACAGAAGTAAGCTTCAAATGCAGAAGTCATGCATTTTTAATAAAATAACTGAGACTACCAAAAAAAAAAAAAAACAACCCAACACCTTCAAACTGCTTGCTTTCCTATCCTTATTGATAAGGACCCCCATGTATCACAGCAGGGTCATGAACACAGAGAGATTAGCACAGCATCTTTCCTAGTAGAGGGGATATTAGGGATGCTACCCCCTGTCCATTCCTCTGGGCTATTTCTGAGTGGGTGGTCCTGTACTTGCATGGAGGTAAACCTGGACAGAGGGGCCTGGTGATAGGAATGCCCAAGGGGTAAGGTAGAGAGACAATAGCCTAAGCTTTGTGTGGAGCGGTCTCCCTGTGTTAATTCAATCAGATTTTAATTTTTATATTGCTTAGTTTTAGGATTTTAAAGAAATCATTAAAGTACCTTTTATTCCTTTTCAAAGTTTTATCTAATAACTTCCCCATAAGAATATATCCCCACCATTGGAGAAGCATTTTGTGTTGATCTCTGTGTATTTATCACCACTCTCTGCTACCTCAAGTGCTCTGTCAACAGAGACGAAAGCAAGTGGTTTGAAGCTTTTTGCAGATTGGCCTGTTCTATTAAAAATGCATGTTTTTTACGTTTGAAGTTCATTTCTGTTCCTGTTACTGAGAGATTTGTTATTCAACTGGAGGCAGATTCTCTAAGAAAATGACAGGCATGGTAGATAACGACCTCCTCAGGGTCATAGTGGTCAGAGCCAGTTTCACCTGGGAGCAACATCAGTTTCCAAAGAACTGAGAAAGTGCAGGGAAGGTCAAAACACAGCAGAAGTGGTTAAATGGACCTGGGGAAGTGGAGGTTAGCAAAGATGATTAGTTTGGCATTAATAATTGCCTGAATAGGAACACCTGTTTAAAAGTGGCAAGTTGTCATTGACCAAGAGATCAATGTGTCAGCAACCAAAATTTTAAAAATTAGTTCTATGAACATACTTGAAAAAAAGGAAAAAAATAAGGAGAAAACAAAACTAGATTCAGAGACCTGTCCCCCCTTCCCCCCCAAAAAAAGATCAGAAATCAAAAAGAGAGTATTCTTTCATAGGAATATAATTTGACACTCTGAATTCATATATCTACTGTAGCAATCATGCCTATTTTACAATGTAATTCTGTTAATAAAAGCTTTGAAGATCTAATCTCTCACTTCAATAAAGGCAGTTTTAAGGAGAATTTTGTATCTTTTTCAGTATTAAAAGAGTGTCAAATTGGGATGGTATCTTGAACAGTTAGGATCAAAGATTTTATAGCCTCTATTAAGATGTATTGTTTGAATGCTTATAATTGCTAAATAGAGAGTGGTTTGACATGTTAAATGCATTTTAAGTTATAGCAGAGTTAATTAACCAATATTTTTGCATGTGTAGCCCCAGGCACTATTTTTGATTAAATTTTAAAGGAGATTGAATCATGATTTTCACCTCATCTTTTTTCATTTTTAATATAAGTGAGATATAGTAAATATTAATAGGCCTTACCAGTGCAGTCAGGTTTTCCATTTAAAACGACTTTTCATAAGTAGGACTCTAATCTAGACCATTAACTGCAGGGAAAAATACTTATCTTAAATTTTGGGGAGAAAGAGAAGCTTTGATCTGACTTTCCTGGGAATAATTACATTAATCATAGGAGAAAGCAATAAGAGGAAATATCTGCTATCTAGAACATGATGGGCTAATTTGGGTTCCTTCAACTTTTAGTCATTTAAATGCAGCAAGGCTATCTTCTGTTTGCAGCTTTGAAAAATTAGCCCACTTTTCCTGGGTAACAGTATTTTCTGGTGCTGACTTAGTTCTTTGCCTACTGATGGACTGGTGTTCTTCACACAGACTGGTAGTGTCTGTCTCCTTATTTTCAAGGCTTCATTGCCACTGACATCTCTTCAGTAACAGAGTAAGTTTTCATAATATTTAGATTTTTTTTGACAGTTTTCCTCTTTGTATTAACCATTTGGATATGCACTCCCATGCTATCACATGAGCTCATGCAAAAGACCCTGAAGGTAGAAACTTGCACGATTACTGTTATATCTTCTTAAAATGATCGATATTACTCAGTCACATTATTCCAGAAAAGACCATATAGAACATTTTATAAATCAGGGATCTGTAAAACTTACCACACAGCTAATTGGTAGTAGTGCTAGAACTTGACTCCTTTGCCCATCATGCCCCACCATCTTGTATTTATTCTTCTAACTGTTTCTTTCTCTGAAGGTTGCAGACAGACCTGGGAAAGAAGAATTTTGTTCACCCCCATATACCCACTATGAAGTACCTCCAACTTTCTACCGATCTGCCATGCTTCTTAAACCCCAGCTGGGGTTGGGTGCGATGTCCCGCCTGCCCTCCGCCAAGAGCAGGATTCTGATTGCAAGTCAGAGGTCTTCGGGTACTTCTCTTCATCCGCCAGGACCGATTGCAAATGCTACCAATCTCTATCATTCTGATCCTTCAGGTCAGTATTTAAATAATTGCTCTCTGATGTTTTTTAATGAGAACACATAAAATAGAAGTAACTGAGATTATTAATAGCTACTGACACTTTAAGAGAAGCTTTTTTTTCATCATTCAGAGTTGTGTCCTCTATGGGATCTATAACTACCTCAGACTAATCAATTTCTTCCCATTTGTAAGGTATTGACTTAGTGTTCTATCTGTAGTCTTATTATGTCACCCCAATAAATAGTTTTAAAAATACTAATTTTCTTGGGCAAGAGTTAAGTGGTATTTGCTTTTTCTTTGGTCCACCCCCCAGGGGTGGAGAACCTGTGGCCTTGAGGCCACATGTGACCCTGTAGGTCCTCAAGTGTCACCCTTTGACTGAATTCAAACTTCATAGTTCTGTCAAAGGGCTGCACTTGAGGGCCTGAAGGGTCACATATGGCTTTGCAACCGAAGGTTCCCCACCCCTGGTCTGGACCCAAGAGGTAATCAGTGTGGGCTTCTCCCAGTATGGAAGCTTCAAGCCACCATGGATGCAGTTTGCTAACTCATCTGTAACTTAGGGTCTTGGAGAGTTGCCCTGGGACATTAACTCTTGACAGGTTAAGCAATGCGTGTTTCATCATTCTTTTATGTGTTTTCCTTTGCTGCACTGTACTCAAGTACTATACAATGCTAGCTATTATTTATTATCTACTAGGTCATGTGATCATAGATATAAAGTTAGGAGGGACCTAACCCATCCTCTTCATTTTACAGATGAAGAAACTGACTCCCAGAGTAGTTAAGTGACTTGCCCAGTTTCCCATAGGTAGTAAGAGACAGAGCTGAGATTCAAATTCAGGTCTGTTGATTCCAAAGCCAGGGTCTTTCCACCTTGCCTGAATTTATTATCCGATGTTATCTGACATTATCTGGCATTATATGCAATTAAAGGCCCTAGCATAAATAAGTAAGGTTTATTCAAACTTGGATTTTAGAAATGTGGCATCTTCCCCCAACCCTGCTCCATCCCCACTTTATATGACCCTCCTGAATGCTATATCCATGTTCATGGCTCTTTGGGGTTCTCTTCATTTATTCACACCCACAGCTCTTGAGGCCCCATTCCATAAATCTTCTAGACAAAGCCAACAGACACATAAATGCAAAACAGAAAGCATTTAATAAAATGTAACAAAGTAGTAGCAAAGATCTTAAATCATGTAATAAGTCTTTTTTTCCCCAGCGCATTTGCCCATGACTATCTATCACCTCCTTTGACTCCAAGGGAGGCTGTGAATCCTTTATCCATTCATTTACTTGGCATCTTCAACCCTGTAGGAGAGGGATACAGGCAGTTTAAGCCTACACACAATGATACGCGGCAGCTAGGTAGTGTAGTAGATAGAGTGCCACTCCTGGAGTCAGGAGGACCTGAGTTCAAATCCGGCCACAGACATTTACTAGCTTTATGACCCTGGGCAAGTCACTTAACCCTAATTGTCTCAGTTCCTTATCCATAAAATGAGCTGGAGAAGGAAATGGCAAACCGCTGCAGTATCTTTGCCAAGAAAATCCCAGATTGAGTTACAAAGAGTTGGACATGACTGAAAAACAACTGAACAACTAATTAATACTACAGCTTGAAATCTGAACCACACTGCCTAGTAAGCTCCCCTTCCAGCCTTGGCTTGAGAGGGCAGAGAGCAGTGCTCACCGTTTCCATGTGTACAAAAGCCCCTGGCTTCTCCCTTGCCCTGCCCCTCTGGTCATGCCCTCTCCCCCAAGCTCCATTTGTTCTACCTCTCTCTAGCCTCCTGGAGGACCACTCCTTTTTGGGTGGCTAATTATTTTGCTCTTTGTGCAAGACTCATTCATGTGTACTTTTTTTTTAAACTTCTCCATCTGCAAGTACTTATTATCCAGGATCTTCTTTGTAGACACCACACACAGGCTTCTGGGAGATGCATTTCAGAGACTTTCTCCCAGTGAGTGAAGCTTTGGACCTAAAAGCATTGTGGGAATATTTGATATACTTTATAAATGCCTTTGACTGAGGCAGATATTCTAAAACAGGTGTCAACACAATTCATTTCCCAAAGTTAATTAAACCAGTCAGGCTTCATTTAAAAAAAACAAACATTTTAGACAGATGAATAGCTGTCCTGCTCTTAAAGACCCTCAAGGAAAAGGATTGCATGGCTCTCTCTTTGATACCTAGTCTAAGGCTTCATTCTTAAGCCTTCTCCCTTAAATTCTCCCTTAAATTCATTTTAAAATAATTATTTATTTGCAATAGATAAAATCTAGATACTGTCTTTGACGATTAGCTGCCTAGTTGATGTCCTTGCAAATGCCAAAAAAAATTCAAATTCCCAACACCTTTTTACCTAGAGTCCTCTTTTTCAATCCTTTACCTTTTATCACTCTCCTCTGAACCTTCAGTTCTTGGAAATCTCTAAAGATAATCAGGATTTTAAAGTTAAATTTTCTCCTAATTTGCCTCATACAAAAGAAAAAAAAGAATTATTTTAAAAACATAATAACAATAATGATTTTGTTGATGATAACAATAACTAGCATTTGTGGAGAAACTCAAGGCTTGCAAAGTGCTTTGCAAAGATCTCATAACCACTTCATAGCAAATATCCTCCTAACAGTCCTGGAGTGTAGATACTGTTATTAGCCACATTTTACAGATGAGAAATCAGGCAAATAATTCCTGACTTGAGGTCCAGTGCTTTATCCATCTAGCTTCCTCATAGATGAAGGGGGAAGTGTCAGAGAATTTGGTATGTTTATTCTCCCATAGTCCATCGATGGGGAGAGAAGAGTGCTGCTTCACAATGCTTAGTGATCTAAGACAGGGGTGGGAAACCTGTGGCCTCAAGGCCACAAGTGGCCCCCTAGGTCCTCAAGTGTGGCTCTTCAGTTTGGATTCAGTCAAAGGGCCACACTTGAGGACCTAGATGGCCACCTATGGCCTTGAGGCCACAGGTTCCCCACCCCTGGTCTGAGAAATACAGAATTGCTAGATTTGAAGAATGTTCTTTGGTTGAATTTTTATGAGCTTAGGTAGTAAAAAAAATGGGTTATGTTTTGCAGTCTGATATGCTTGCCAAATATCCTGGAATTCGATTCATAAACTTGTACACATCCCAATTAATTAAGCAAGCAAGCAACTGGGAAATTGTGAAACTCCCATGAAATGTCGATAGAATCAGAGCCTTTAAAACTACTGCATTTCTTCATACTTCAATATTTCAGGGATCTGTGCATTTACCACTTTTATATATTTTTCATTACTTACTGGAGAAGGAAATGGCAAACCACTCCAGTATCTTTGCCAAGAAAACCCCAGATGGAGTCACGAAGAGTTGGACATGACTGAAACAATTGAACAACAACAAGAATGCCTTCCATTGATGCAGATCACACACTCTTTCTAGTTTGTTAGACAGTCTTTGGAAAAGATTATAGCCAAAAATTTATCATTCCATGGCTACTTTGCTGATGAACCTATCTGATGAACATCGGTGAGTCTTTAGATAACAACCATGCAGCCATTGGGTAAAATCAGTGACAGACTTAGAGGTAGAAAGGACCTTCGAGGTCATTTAAATACAACTCATTCCTTTTATCTCTGCAGAAACTGAAGCCAAAAGTTAAGTGACTTGTCCAAGGTCACACAGATAGTAAGTGTCAGAGATGAGATATGGATCTAGGTCCTCTAACAAGAAATCCAGCACTTATAGCTTAGAAAGCCAGCACTCCGCTGGCAAAGCCTTCAAGAACCCAGTGTCATCTCCATGATTTGATGGAGGCATCAACAAATTTAAAATTTTTATTTCATTTATTATGCCATCAGTTGTTTATTTCTATCATTCATTCATTCATTGTGTATTATTAGGCAGCAAGGTGGTCCAATGGATAGAGCACTCAACTTGGAGTCAGGAGGACCTAAATTCAAATCCTCAGATTCTTCCTAGCTGTGTAACTCTGGGCAAGTCACTTAACTTCTGACTGCCTCAGTTTGCTTATCTATAAAATGAGGGGATATTAATGGCACTTACCTCCCAGAGTAGTTGTGAGGATCAAATGAGGTGATATTTGTAAAGTACTTTATAAATATAAAGTGTTATATAATTGCCTATTATTATTAACTCTTATTATTTATTTGTTAATTTAACAAACATTTGGTGAGCAAAACATACAGTGCTAGTTGCTATGTGGAATATGAAGACACATCATTCATACCTACAAAGAATATTGCCTACAATATTGGCTAGGAGATAAGGCAGGTATGTAAACATCTACAGTGCAAGTCAATATATGAGAAGTGTCATATGAGAATTTAAAATAAAATTGCAAAGTGGGGAGGGTTGCTCCCAGTATGTAATGGTCATGGAGAAGGCGGCTTTTTAGCTGGCCTTGAACGAAGGTTGATTTTCTATAAGTTAAGACATAAATTTATGTGATTGCACGTATATAAACTATAGCAGACTTCTTCCCATCTCAAGGAGGGAGGAGGGGAAGGAAGGAAGGAGTGAAGGGATAGAATTTAGAACTCAAAACTCAAAAAAAGTTTAAAAATTGTTTTAACATGTAATTGGGGAAAAATAAAATATTATATATGAAATGTGAGAAAGGAGATAAGATAGAGTGGCCAAGTCAGTCTTAGAAACCCTTAACCTATAATATCTTATTTTTTAATCAACATAAAGTTGATTTATATATGAAAAGTTAAATGTTCTTTGTCTTGTTGTTTTAGATTTTATAAAAAGCTGAAATAATCAGTTGCTTTAAAAAGGTTCTGTAAGAGATATCTGGAAACAAAACTTGGTAACTGCTACATTACATGAAACAAATAAAAGAAAAATTATTTCACAGCTTGGGACAGAAGAGTAAGTTTGAAATACGTTTTCAAACTTGATTAAAGTACTGAAATAAGCATGTCTCCATTTTTTGTTTGGAAGAGCCCTTAGGAAGTTTGGGAACCAATAAATCAAACTTTTAAACTACAAAAAAAAC